TGAGATAATACAGACTATAAGCCGAGCAATTCGGGGTTTGGCTCGCTCGGTAATGCCGTAATAAAATCATACTCCCATCAAACGGCGCTGCGCGCACCCCCTTTAAAGGTAACGCGGAAAGGAGAGGTGAAGGTGGGGTAAGGGGTGGGGGTAGAGGAAGGGACGGAACGAAGAACCAGAGGAATGGGGTGTGGAGGAAGAGGCCGAACGGAGGAAGGTATAGTACGTCGGCATACCCTAGGTGGACTCGTGTGAGGGCGGGAGGGGTAGAGGGAACGATGACGGCACGAGGCGAAGTGTGGCAAGGGAGGAAAAAAGCCAGGAGACTCGCATTCCTTTGCTCCTAACGATTGGATTTTATTTGACGGAACGGACCAACGGTCCGTCCAATCGGCTGCTCCCAGGGGTAGTCCGTAGCCACGCCTACCCACCCCTCTGGTAGAACGCGCGTGTTTTCTCTCTCTTGCTCCCACCCTCTTTCTTTCGCTACCCTCCGCGGTTGGTTCTTACTCCCTCTAGCTGTTTCACCCTCCTCTGTGTCCTTCTTCTTCTCGACTCACCCTTCCCCCTCTCGTGTATGTACATATATATGTGTATATATACATAATACACTACTCTTGCCTACGTCCTTTTCGCTCTTATATTCGTTCCGTTTTAGCAACAGGGGTTACCGTCGTGCGGCGGTTCTCTCTACACCCTTATCAACATTATTATCTCTCACTACCATCGACACGCGCCGCGACGTACGTGTGTCGTTTTATCGGTGTGGTTAGGTACCGTGGCGCGTCTATTGCCGGTACACAGGCACGTGTGCGTGTGTGTAGAGGTGGTGCACGTACATGTTTGCGTGGGCGTACGTGTCGTACGAGATCGTTTCGCGCAATGTGATTTTCTTGTACGTATAATTATACCGGCGACGCTCGCCCGGCCACTTTTCTCCGGCTTTAAACCACCGCTATAACGATCAGAACGATTGCGTCGCCTTGGCGATGATAATAACGCTTATAATAATAATAATAATAATGGTATTAATAAGAATTCGCCCAGCGTGGACTTGGCGAACTTTTACGAAATCATTTTCTCGATTCCTTTTTTCCTCTATCCGTAAATACACCAACAGTTCTAACCTCAAATCACAACGCTCCGTCACCCGGTCACCCTAATTTCCACGCGTGCACACGCAGTTACGCGTAGCCTAAATAGTATACAGGCAGCGCGCGCTCAGATCGCCGCGTTCGTCCGGCGGAAATGTCCGGTAGGGTTAATTAAATTAACGAGCGTCGCCCTGTGGTCCACCGGAATCCTCGTGTGTAGGTATTTAGGTATACACACGCGGTTCGGAGTCGCGCGGCGCGCCGCCCGCTAAATCTTGAACGACCGTGTCGTAGACAGGCACGCGCGATATCCTCGCCGCGCACGTAACGCCACTTCACTCTAACGGGTCATCGAAACACACGAAAATAACAATACCCTTTTGGGTGAAGAAAAGGATACGAAATTTACTTTTCTCGTCGGAAGAAAGAGAAAGAAGAAGAAGAAGAAACGTGCTGGCGGGGTGGATAGGTGAACGAAGAAAGAGAACGGGAGAGAAAGAGAGAGAATCGAGAACATATTCGGAGAGCTTAAGTAGAATCGTCTAGCAGCGAAGGGCCCTGAAAACAGGAGGGGTGGTCCATCGACTCTGATTCTCCGGCTTTTTCTTACACGATTTTCCAGCCTCTATACCGACGTCCACCAGCGGCGTTGCCCGCGCCACGTGGTGGTGGAGGGTAGTGCAGCCAACGAGAGCGTACCACGAGCCACCCTTTCCTCTCGATTCGACCCCTCGCGTGGGATGCCACGGCCACGCCTACCCTTCGGAATCACCTCTACCTCGTCGACGTCACGACTTATCACCCTCTCAGCGTGGATGGTGGTGGGCTGCCTCGTGTGCAAACGGGCTCTCGCAGGGTGTGGGTGATTTGGTTTCGAGGTGAGGAGAGCGACGTAGAAGGAGTAGCGGGGGGTGGACGTTGGCGATACTCGAAGAAGAGGAACCAAAGGCAGCGGAGTAAGGGTGAAAAAAAAATAATGAAATGAACATCGCGCGGCTTTTCCTGGAGGGGGTGGGGAGGGAAAATCGTGGAATTATTATAAGAGTTCCGGGGTTGAGGTTCAGCCTCGGCTTATATAAATTGGAGGCGGATTCGGGACGGGGGGGAGGAAGAGAAGGAGGAGGACCTCCCGCGAAAGTGGCTCGTGAAGAGAGAGAGAGAGAGAGATCGAGGAGAGGGTGAAGGGAAAAAGATTCGTTTTGTACCAGCGGCGGATAATTATTCATTCATCCTACCACCTCGGGATGGGAATATCAAAGTTTCAAAATG